TGAGAGCTTCAGACTGTAATTATTTGGCTGATTAAGATCTACCTATCTATTTATCTGTCATCTATCTGTCTATCTATCTATCTATCTATCTATCTATCTATCTATCTATCATCTATTTATCATCCATCCATCATATTTCTATTTATCTATCATCTATCCATCTATCTACCTATCTCTCTACCTATCTACTATCTATTGATCTATCTACCTATCTATCTCTCTCTGTCATCTATTTATTCACCTATCTACCTACCTATCTATTTAATGATATCTAATCTAATTAATGATTTTATTAAGCAATAATTTATATAAAGTAAAAAATGATCTTGGTTTTCTTTATTTTAAAATATTTTTATTGATTTCATAGAGGGAGGGCAAGGGAGAGAGAGATAGAAACATCAATGATGAGAGTGAATCATTGATCAGTTGCCTCCTGCACCCCTTCCCCCCAACTGGGGATCGAGCCTGCAACCAGTCCCCCAACAGCACCAGGCATATGCCTGACCGGGAATTGAACCATGACCTCCTGGTTCGTAGGTCAACGCTCAACCACTGAGCCACGCCGACCAGGCTTGGCTTCCTTGTAAAGGTGAGAGGACTGGACCTGACCACTTGCCCAGAACTTGGCTCTCTTGCCATCTAGACCAAACTCTGAAATTCTTTACATTCGGAAGAAGTCACATGTTAGAAAATACTCAAGCAATTACAACGCTCAAACAATTTCACACTGACAGACTAAATGACAATGTACCCTGATTGAAAACTCCAGTCATAGCAATTAGAATAATGTTCTGCAACTCAAGAAAAAGCTGCACTTGAAAATGTCTTTAAAATTGTCAAACATGAAAATTTCCAAATAGTTTGAAGACTATCTAAATGTTATGTTTTCTTCCCAGAAAACTGTGGTGCTTGCCAGGGGGAGGGGGGATGAAGAAGGAGAGGGTACAGGGGGATAAATGGTGATAGAAGGAGACTTGACTTTGGGTGGTGAACACACAATACAATATACAGATGATATATATAGAATTGTACCCCTGAAGTCTGTATAATTTTATTAACCAATGTCACACCAATAAATTCAGTAAAAAATAAAATAAATTATATTTTCTTAATATCTGTGGGTTATTTTAATGCTGCCAAAACTTCACATCATTTCTAGGACAAGTTATTAGAAGCTATTTAATATTTAAAATGAAGTATATTTTGTAGAAATGATAGAAATGACTTGGTAAAATAATTTCTAAAAATTCTTATCTGGCCACGAAGGGATAATAGTGAAGTACCTGCTTTCTGCAGCGGCGGACAGTGGTCAGGAGGGCGGGGCTGCGGGGCTACTTCCGGGGGCAAGGCTGCGCCTGGCACTTAGCCCCTGTGATTTGCATATTCACACAGCGGGTCGCTGACCACACCCATAGGTTATGACTGTAGCTTTGTCATTGATTAACTGTGCGACCCTGGGAAAACCAAAGTCTCTCTAAATGTAAGGAGATGAAATAGTAACACAGACTGGTGTCCACGGGGAGGGAGACATGAAAGTGCCTGAGGAGGCAAGAACTAGCAAACAGAGCACCTTTCCTGCTTTGGGGAGGGGAGGCAGACAGGAGGCAAATCCTGGCACCCAGAGAGGAATACACAGCAGAACCAAGGTGCCCTGGAGGTACCAGAGGGGGATTTGGTCGGGAAGCGTGTGCTCAGGGCTGCAGGGAAGTCAGGAAGTGAGCCGGCGCGGGTCTGAGGAGAAAGAGCCACACAGGAAGGTCCCAGGGGAACGGGAGATGACCCGGGGCTGGACCCTGACAAGGGCTGCACAGTCTCTGCCCTCAGAGGTTGTATTTGTCCATCACAAACTCTTTCTCCAAGTTTGCCTTCCTGTACCTTGGGAATTTTGTTTGAATAAAACTTATAATTAAAGGCTTAAGAGATATTTACATCATTTTTGCTGGTCCCATGGCCTATGTACAGCGGCTCCTCACTTTGCATATCTCTGCATTTCAAGCCAACATTGTGTTAAATGACACCAGTCCCCCACCAGCACCAGGTGCCTTTCAGTATCCCCAGTGTATGGACTGGGAGAAGTTTCAGGAAGCCCAGGCTTAGCTACTAGGTTTTCAGTCCATAGACCATGGCACCCTCTGACCTACCCTCAGCCCAACACCTCTTTCGAGGGCTGTCAAGGCACCTGTCACTTGGGTCACACAAACAGCAGATGTGGGGGTGCTGTCTCCTCATGATGAGCCATTTGGCATTTCACACAGATGGATAACCCCAAGAGGGACGTGGTCACCAAGAGGAAAGAGCAGCAGGAACTGGAGAGGGCAATGGTCAGTGAAATATAAAGATCACATAATAAAATTTTCATATAAACTAGTGGCCCGGTGTATGAAATTCATGCACATTAAAAGGGAATCAATTAGAGGAAATATTTTAATATTGCTATTTGTCCTTTCTCTGTAATAGAAGTGTCAGAGATGAAAGAAAATTAGTAAAATGTATATGAAAATTTCCCTCCTGTCAGAGTCTGGGGCGCCCCGCGAGACCTAGAGTCAAGTCCCTGCCCGCCACCCCCAAGCGTTTCAAAAATGCAAGAGACCCAGACCTGGCCAGCCCTACCCCAATCAAGCCCCTCTGGGCAGGGGGCACAGCCTCAGGTCCCTGTAAAGCCCCGCCATGGGGGGTCGCAGCCTCAGGTCCCCTGGCCTGGCACCAGGGTGGAGGATGTCGCCTCAGGTCCCCTGTCAAGCCCCGTGGGGCAGGGGGTGTGGCCTGAGGTCTCCCAGCCCAGAGCCGGGGTGGGGGGTGCGGCCTAAGGTCCCTCGCCCTGGCCAGGCACCATGAAGCCTCAGGTTCCTGCTGTCCGGAGTTATGGCATCTGGGCTAATTTGCATATTCCTCTATTATATAGATAGACTAGAGGCCCGGTGCACAAAAATTTGTGCACTCGGGAGGGTCCCTCAGCCTGGCCTGTGTCCTCTCGCAGTCTGGGACCCCTTGGGGGATGACCACCTGCTGGTTTAGGCCCGCTTCCTGGGGAATTGGGCCTGACCTGGCAGTCAGACATCACTCTGGCAGCCCGGGAGCCCTCAGGGGATGTCCACTTGCCAGTGGGGAGCAGGCCTAAGCTGCAGTCGGACATCCTTAGTGCTGCTGAGGAGGCAGGAGAGGCTCCTACCAC